CTGACAAAATAGCTGGGTTGGCAGGGTTTGCAGAAAAGGCAGTTTGAGCCTGAATTACTTTGTCTACTTTCAAATCTCCAAGAGATGGATAGAGAGACATTTTTGCAGGATCTTTCTACACCACAAGGTGCTGCTGGCCACCGCCCCTGCCTCCTCTGGTCTCCAGCACCAACTTTCGATACCAGAGGGAACAAAGCATGACCAAGGCCCACCCACCAGGAGCATCCCCCCTTCTTGCTTTTGCTGCCTTCTGCCCTCCATGAGCTGTTGCCCCTCTGCCAAGAATCCCAGCATTGGAGCTAGTTGATTATGGACTGAAAACTCCACAAACTGTGAGCTAAATAAACCTTTTCTCCCCTAACTTGTAGTGTTGGGTGTTTTGTCTCAGCAACAAGAAAAGTAATTAAGAGTCCCATCCTGCCAGGCTGCAAAGGATGCATCATTCTTCTATTCTAACTGCCAGTTTCTCTGCTCCTGCCATCATTGTCTTTTCCTGTGATACTCCAAAGGAGTTATACTCATCCCAAATCCATAACTATCACAATTTGCAACAATTCCTGTCAAGCACGGTGATGCACACCTATAATCTGGTGTAACTCTAGAAGGCTGAGACAGGAGGATCACATATTTGAACCCATCCTGGGTAATTTAGACTTAGTGAGATGCTGCTCAAAATACAAAGTAAAAAGGGTTAGAGCTGTAGCTCAGTGCAAAAGCCCCTAGGTTTAATCCCCAGTACCAAAAAAAAAAGAAAAAGAAAAAGAAAAAGTTCCCCAAGAGCAGAACTTCAATTGGTTTCCTATGGTAGCCCCAACCCCTAGAACAAGACTTAGCACAGGGAGGTTTTCCATAATTACTTATTGGATGATTAAAAGGACTATATGGTGATTCAAGTATCAGAGATAGTATATAATCCAAAAAACTATCAGAATTTAACAAGATGGAAGCTAACATAGCTGACTAGGAAACCCTCAGATGTAGCCAGAGTTTTAATCCAAATTCAAATTAAAAATCAAGCATAGAGTTTTCATTTAAATTCAGGCTATTTGCAGGCTGAAAATAGACAGGTAAAAATACAACCTTTCTCACAGAACTGTCTTAAGGATGAAGTGAGATCTTAGAAGAAGAGCACTTCAATAAAAGTTATTATTGGCGGGGAGGTTTCTTGAACCAGGAAGCCTTGGTGAGGTGTCTGGGAGCCAGATCCTCTGGCCCTGCCCCCTGCTGCCACTGCAGGAAGTGGCCTTGGACTGGGAAGCCTTGGCGAGCTGTCTGGGAGCCTGGATCCTCTGGCCCCACCCTTGCCACTATTGTGGTGAGGTTTCTTGGACTGCGAAGCCTCAGTGAACTGTCTGGGTGCTGGGGTTCTCTGGTTCTCCCCCTCCTGACACTGACGGAAGGGGCCTTGGTCTCAGGAAGCCTCTGTGAGGTGTCTGAGAGCCTGGGACCCCTGTATCCACCTACTACCACCATCTCAGGAACAAACCTGAATCCCCAGAAACCTAGGGAGATTTGAAAATAACAAAAAGAAGAAGCAAAATGCAATCTCAGCCAAACACCCCACCCAGATCAAGTCCAGCAAATATCAACATGGAAGAATGTGGAAGTCATACACCTGAAATTTCTGAAATTATAGCAACAGAAATAAAGAACCAACTACATCAAGCTATAGAGGAAATCAGATGAGAAGTAATTGCACAGATAAGAAAAGAAATGACAGCCATAATGGAAGAATTGCTCAGCATATTAAAAGAAGACATAGATTAAAAAAAAAGAGGAGCACAAAAAATGATGGAAACCTTGAATGAACAGAATAGGAAAGAATTAGAATGCATGAAACAGATTCAAAGAGACATTCAGGAAATTTCCACTGAAAGCTGGAAGAACTGCTTGAATAAAACAGAAGATAGGGCTGGGGAATGTGGCTCAGTGGTAGAGCTCTTGCCTTGCATGCACAAGGCCCTGGATTCGATCCCCAGCACCACATACATAAAAAAAAAACAAACCCAATAATAATAATAATAATAAATAAATAATTTTTTAAAAAAAACAGAAGATAGACTCTCAGACCTTGAAGACAGCATTGCAGTTAGTGATTGTGAAAGAAAAGGTCTCTTAAAAATAACAAAGGAAGAGCAAATAACAATTCAATAGCTGCAAGATGAGGCAAACAAAAATAATATAAGGCTGATAGGTGTCAACAAAGAGCAGGAGGCAACGTGAATGACATCAAAAGACTATTTGCAGAAGTAATACCACAAAATTTCCCAAGCATGAGATAAGAACTTTAATAAATCTATACCCAGACACATAATAATCAAGATCCCAGAAATTCACCAAAAGAACAGAATATTCAAAGTTGTTAGAGAAAAGAAACAGATCATCTATGAAGGAAAACCCATCAGAATCATGGCAGATTTCTCAACACAAACCATCAAGTCAAGAAGAACTTGGAGTGAAGTATTTCAGGTCCTCAAAGAAACAACTTCCAACCCAGATTGCGCTACCCTGCAAAGTTATCTTTCAAAATTAATGGAGAAATAAGATACTTCCATGCCAAAGATCAACTGAAGAAATTCGTGACCACCAACCCAATCCTACAAAAACTACTGAAAGATATTGTACACAGAGGTAAAAATAACCACAATCTCAAGACCAACATAGAAAATGTGGCTTACCAGCTTATGTGGCTTATCAGCAAGGTAAGCAATTAAACAGAGGGGCAAAGTATAGAACCAACAGTGAGAAAATAACATGACAAGGATAAGTCAATGCATATCAGTAATAACCATTAATGTGAATGGCCTCAATTCACTAATCAAAAGAAACAGACTGACAGAGTGGATCAAGAAACAAAATCCAACAATATGTTGTATACAAGGAACACATTTCACTCAAAAGGAAATCCATAGACTGAAAGTCAAAGGATGCAAAACAATACTCCATGCAACAGGAACCCAGAAAAAAAGCAGAAGCAGCTATTCTGTTTGCAGACAAGGTATACTTCAAAGCAACAATGATCAAAGGAGGTAAAGAAGGTCACTATATTCTTGTTAAGGGAAAAAACTGCAAGAGGAGGAGATAACAATCATAAATATATATGCACCAAATGTAGGTGCACCCAATTATATAAGGTAAATTTTAACAGACAGGAAAAATCAAATAAGTAATAATACAGTTGTAACAGGGGATTTTAACAGCCCATTGTCACAAAGAGATAGATCAACTAGACAAAAAACCAGCAAAGAAATAACAGAACTAAACCAAACATGTGAACAAATGGACTTAGTAGACATTTACAGAGTATTCCACCCAACAACCAATAGGTACAATAGATATTGTGAAAGGGAAAAGAAACTGCTCAAATAGGAAGGAGCAACTGGGATGAAATAGAGGAGAGGGAAAAAAAAGAAGATATATATATAGATATATAGATATACACATACATATATATATATACACACACACACACACACAGAATAGCTAGGATAATTATACTACTAATATCTGTTGGTTTATTGAAAGAAACTGTCATTGTGTAATTGTTTTATCAATCTTACATGCCTCTATCTGGTTATACGTGTAACCAATTTGAGGCCCCTAAATCTCTGGAAGTTCTTTGGGGGGTACTTGTAATTTATATTGATGTGCTGACTGTGTTCACTCCCAGAACTGACTGAAATAAGACCCAGCTTGTAGTATTGTCATTGTGGTAGGAACTATGCAAAATAGCACCTATATCCTCAGAGGAGCAGGTGGGTCTGCCACCTAGTAGCATATATTGGAAACCAGTCTCTCTCAGTAGGAACCTGTGGCCAAAGACAGGAAATGGGCTTTGTCTCAATTCACTTGGAACTCAGAAACAACCAAATCATGGCCAGCTATACCAACATCTGCCCATAATAATATCTAGTATACTGTATAGGCAAGGACTGGTTCAGCTGGGAAGGCATAAAAACACCTTTTTCATTATTAATGATTTGCTCTATAGTGAACCCGAGTTGAACCATGACCAGAGTGAGATATGGTATAATCCTAGCATTTTTTGTAAGATTCTAAAGTCCTGTGTAAATAAACTACATAGTAATGCTGACATTAGTGATCAATTGTACTGGGAGATTGAGCTAAAACTTCTACAGGATATAATACCAATACAAAATGACTGATCTGAGGAAAAGCTGGATTAGACTAAATATTAATTCATTTCTAAGGTAAATGTTCTATACAAGTTAGCATAAGGTATAAATATCAGTAGATCAAAGGGACATGAATAATCAAACTCATTCAAAACTACAAACCTGGACAACATATTGAGATCTAGTATCAAAAACAAACAAAAGATAAGTAATGACTTTATTGAATTATTTAGTTATTGTTAGTTTGCATCTATATCTCACCTATACTGACTCCTCTAAATCTTAGACATAATCATTACTGATGCTACTAATGTATCTATCGTTCAGAAAATTATGTGATAAATGTAGACGCTCAAATAAATATGAGTATTGTGCTATTAGAACCCAAGAAATATGAGGGCAGAGGCAGTGTAGTAAAGGATTAACTTACCACACAAACTTGTTGCTCAAATCTCTCAAATTACAAAGAAAGGCCTAGGAGATGATCTCTGAGCCCTCAAGACACCAGACTTTGAGCCGAGCCGCGCCGCCGCCGAGCCCCGCGCCCCGCGC